AAGAAAGATACTCTAGGTACTGCTTAATCTATTATGTTAATATGTAGTAAAACAACTATATTGTGGTGGAACTACAGGCTTATAGAGGTGCGCAGGTTTGGTGGGGTGCGGCGCTCGCTTGCCTGCGGCGCTCGCTTGCCACATACGTTATATGAAATTCCATGATAAAGTAGATTCAGAGTTGGAAGTTGTATAAGAAGATGGTTTTTCTATAAGAGAAGTCTAAGATGAAGTGATAACCAGTTGTAGAAGCCCTATCTTTATTCAAATTCGCCCTATATCGCTTCTGCGGTTCATACCGGCCGCCATACTACTTGCTTGCAGTCTAAACGCCCTCAAATTACTAGTGGTACTTTTAGAGCGAACATGCATGCCATCTGCATCACTACCAGCTCTATAGTCAGATCCTGTATTTCCTAGACCACCTGTTCTATCCGGCCTTTGCAGAGGAAACGCCTGTATCGATCGCGCCTGGCTGTGATTACTATGATCGGGACTTCGATCAACTGGTGAATTTATGGATTTCGTTCGAGTGTTCATCTTGGTTATTAATGCGGACATGGTGGCAGTTGGGGACGCATGAGCCGATGCACTTGAGTTGAAGCGTGCAGATTCAGGCACAGAAGTGTTTCGACGTTGCAACAGTTGTGGCATGTCATTGAGCGTCCTGGATCTTCGGCGTCCCATTGAAAATCTTGCTGATGACGATACCGATGGCGATCGACTTGACGGTGGCGTTGGCAGAGCATGATTGCCCTGTGGTAGCGATCCATAGGCTTGCATCAATTGCTGCAGATCGATAGCCTGCGGTAGTTTACTCAAACGACGGATGGCCTTCTTGTTGGTGTCAATGAAAGTCGACATCGCCTTGAGAGCGTTACTTTGCGTGTGTTGTTCGTACGCAGGGGTGCCACTTGCAGTGCTCATCGCGCGAGCGGCGTGCTGCTCGTTGAGCCCTATAGTCCGTGGCGTCATTGGTGAAGATTTGCTCAAACTCATCTCAATCTGCGATACGACACGGTCGAAATCGACGCCGTTGGCGGGATATCTAGTAGTCGGCTGAATGGATGCTTCGCGGGCTAGAATAAAGAAGGACCCGTCCCAAACCTTTCGCTTCAGAATGTTCCATCGAGCACGAGCTGGGTTGCTCTCCATCTCTGGTTGGAACACAGAGTGACGGGCAAGCTTGGCGTAAAAGCCTTCAAGGCGATTTGCCATCCTTTCGAGTACTTGCATGAGGAACGCGGAAAGTGCAGTGACACGCTCGGAAGTGGATGGAGCATCGAGATCCATGATACTGTCAAAAGCATCCATGCCAGTACAGGCTTCTTCCCTAATAGCTTCGAGAAACTCCATGTCGTATCTGACAGACCGCTGCGCATATGCAATGATACCTTTTTCATGATGGCGAGCAGATTCACTGTCGCATGTGAATTGACCAATTTGAGAAATCTCATTGGACGCCGTGACAGCATCGTGGGAGCCTTTAGCACGGGCAATTACACCAAGGACGTCGGATAGCTTGGTATTTGCAGAAGAAGCATTGGCGAGAGTGAATGAGATCTTGAGGTAGAGTTCTTGCAGTTTCGCTCCAAAGAGAGTGGAAAACCCACCCTGTAATAGGCGAGACTGGTAGTGGTAGAATCTGCGTACACCTCCCATGTTGAAGAGGTCACCTTGGAACCACACGAGTGACGACTCTGTGATCATACCAACCTCGAAGCTTGCTGCGACCACTTGTTCAGTTGCGACACGAAGATAACCCTTCCATAGATCGTAGAGCATGCCAATCTCCTCGGATTGAAAAGCGGGCTTCGGGGTCAATTCTCCGATGTAGTACTTGGTCAAGAGGGACGAGACTTCGGGATTGTTGGTATGGGCCAGCAGATCGAAAGACTTGGTGCAGTCTACACCGCCGTTGGATTTGATGATATTGGTGCCGCCTGGATGCATTGAGCAAAAGTCGGTGCTGCGACGAGTCTTAGCATGTGTGAGCCATTGGGTGAGTGTACGATAGACTTACACGTCATACACTTTACCATGCACTCCGATCCATACACGCGAACCGTTGATATGACCGGTGTGAACAGATAGCTGTGAAAGCGATATCGTAGGTTGGTTGCAAGGTAGAGGTCTTGGGGTCATAAAGACGTCGAGCATCAAGCGTCGCTCGGCAAATGCAGTGTTCAATATGGTCTCCACTGTTTCCATAGTAGGCGATCGATGATTGTAGAGCGCTTGGCGAATGCCGGACATCACCGAGTCGAACACTCCGACTGAACCGCATACGTAAAGGTAGCCGCCGATGCCACCTTGCTTCTGTGATCCAAGCACATTAGCTAAGACTCTAGGGATTAGGAGCACAGAACTTACCTTTGACATAACAAGATCGCATATGGACTGCCCTTGCTCCACGATAAGTCCGTCAATATACCGCGAGGGCATTTCCTTTTCCACAAGATCTCTAGAAACGGGATCGTACACTAGGCCATTAGTGTCTCGCGAAAATGCTGTATGCACTTCCATCAGTCCCTCATTGACATACTGACGAAGCTCAGATTCGTAACAGAACTTTTGCCGGGACTGTACACCGAGATATAGGACAGTTTTCCCCCATGCTTGGCCGCAACGTGCTTGCCAGAAACTGCGGAAAGGCGCCACGCCGCTACCACCTGCAAAGAGTGCAACAGGCGAGGTGTCATCATTTGGCAGTTGAAATGAGAACGGCCTCGACACGCCGATCAATATATCCTCGTCGTCGAGTACGTCCATCTCTTCGCCTACAGGCGGGTTTAGGAAGCCACTGCTAACTCCGTTCCGCACCTGTTTGGTGGTACCTGCAAACATCGGGCAGAGGTCATACTCTGAACGGGATATCGTCTACGCATACATTAGTTTTGAATGCCATCTTAAGGGAACAATACATACTAAGTCTACAGTACTCGGGAGAAGTTCGTCAGAGTAGTTGGAGATACTGTAAGTTCGTGGTACCTCGACAGAAATGAGATCTGCCAGCCAGCCCAGATCGCTGGAGAGGTCGAATGCTTGGTCCCATATGCGTGGTGAAGTGTCTTTCACAGCTGCTTGAAGTAAGTCGCCGAGTGAGGCTCGAACAGGCCATTCGTCTGTGGCTAGGACCTGCAACACGGCATGCGATGATGCTCGCAGTAGGGTATGCAACTTTGTGGCAAGCTTCTTAGTTATCGGCGCAAGATGACCCTTGCGTAGGATATCAACGACAGTGAGCTGCGGCTTGTCGGTATGCGAGATGGCGCCCATATGAACAGCGTATCTTGTCCACATACGGTCCAGGCTGACAGGATCTGAAAGCATAGTATCAAGACCTAGCGCAGCTGCAACTTTCGCACACTCCGTCCAGCTATTCATCGGCATGATAGCAAGTCGATCGCCAGGTTGAAAGGTGATACCAGTGTCCTGGATGTCTAAAGTGACCATCGCAATGGAGCGCTTGGAGTCCGAGTCGACGAAGTTTCTGCTCAGGATTCTACCCCGGTATCGACATTCTTCGAACGTACCGCGCATCTCGTGTGGTTCGATATCGCGTTGTCCACGGAAAGGCTCCAGGCGTTCCTTCATAGCCTCAGAAAATTCTGCGTGCGTTTGCTCCCAGGGTCTCATAGCGTCAGCAGCTCCAGAAGCCCCATTTGTCTCAGTCCGACCAGACTTGCCGGCGCACTCGAGTAGCTTCTTAAAGTCAGTCGGATCAACGTATTGATTAGAACATGCTTACACCAAACACTTTGTACCGATGGGCACCCATGAAGCCTCGCTCACCAGTGTATGCCTCCACCACACCATCGAGCACGCCCATCAATCTGGGGTCTCCAGATGCCTTCACATACTCTGGTATCCGATAATGATACTCGATGGAGGCAATAAAAGCACGGAGGTTCGATGGCAGCCAGGCTCGAAGATGTACACCCTCGGCGCCAAGAAACGAGTTATACTGTTTGCGACCGAGGAAGGCATCCATAACCAGGTACCTGAATGTGTTAGTAAAGAACCTCAGGATGAATCAATTGACTTGCGGAGGAAATTGTAGACCGGAAGTGGCTGGGCATCGTTTGGACAGAGGCGCCGAGAACTTGGCCCAGCGCACCCACTCGGCAGGAGACACATAGTTCTCACCAGACCTATCGTTGGGCGATATGGTGTTGAAAGCTGTGGGCATTCGTTCCAGGATCTCCTTCAAGCGAATGAGTTCACGAAGGAGTCCCTCGTTGTTACGGTTCATAACGTGTTCTTGACACGCCGCAATGGCATCAGGGCCATGCTGAAAGCTCGCCGACGTATCCGCACAGCCTTTGAGGAACGCAGTCTCAGCGCTGTCACCGAACATGCCCCATCGCAACTTGGTGTTGTCGAAGCGACCGACATAGGGGTATTTCGAGAGTGGGTCGATATAGTCGACATTGAAAGACGACTGATCGAAAAACGTAAGGTGGGGAATAGACCGACCCATCCGAACACAAATCTGAACGTACGGAAGGCCAATGCTGCGAGGGATGCCTTGGACCTCGTCGCCAAGATCGTCGCATATAGGAACACCTTTCAGTTTGAAAGGTTTCGCAGCTACGTTGATGCCCTCATTGCCATCATGCCGCTCTTCATACCGGTAGATGGAGCAAAGCATACCAAGGGCAACCAGAGCTGCCCATAGAGCCTTGTCTGGGATGGTGTCGGCTGTTCCTTGGATGATTGGTAATGCTGCGATTGATTCCCGCACTCGACCACGAGCAACGCAACCAGGCATTCTTGTGCAAAGATCCATCCATACTCGTCCTGGAGAGTTTCGTAGGGCACCAGGAGCCTCGCTTGTGTCTGGAGGTTGGAAGCCATACTCCGTGCTCAAGTAACCATCTCGCCAGCCTGTCGCAGGGCCGACTTCTTCGGCACGTATTATGACTTGACGAGCGGGTGCACCCAGCGCGATTGCCAGTAGGTCTCGTTCATCCATGTTGAGGTTGTCAAGACTCTTCACACCTTTTGCATTTTGAATTTCTTTGATCTCGGCCATCGAAGGCACATTTGAATAAATCAGCTCGTTGATTGCCTTACGTTCCCTAAATTGGTTAATAAAATTGGCCTAGCTCGGATGAACGGCATGCCCACCTTTGTCGAAGGAAGTCTTCAACATCGGCATGTTGCGGTATCTGTTCTCATTAGCAATGTCATTTCTGAGTGCGTTGGAATTTGTAATTACTCCGAACGCAGCATGCACATCTCCAGGTGCAGCAAATCCAGAGAATGTGCACCCTCGAGGACCCATCCGACTTCCGCTTTTGCTAGCAGTAACTGACCCCGCTGGACAATGACCACCAGCCATACCGGAGACTGGACATTGTTCTGATCTCAAAGACATCTGTGATTAGAGGAAGGGTTGTTGGGATACCTGCCCGTAAGTTGAGTAAGAAGAAATAGAAAAGGCCCCGCGGCAAAGACAACAGGCACCAGCTGGAAATGATGGTATTGGGCTCGAGGATTCAGCTGCGGTACGTAATCTATTACAGAGAACAAGTAGTAAAGCAAGCGCCTAGTAGCATGAACTCAGTTTACCAGTCCGTAGGGCGTCATAGCTGAGCTGACGTGTTTTCTCCGAGCGAGACGCTTTGCCATGGCGCAAAACAGCTTGTCGAAAGAGTCGATGGCTTGGCTGGAACAAAACATGGTTTGGACGTTTGGACGTTTGGTATTTGTGGGCTTGTCTGGTGGCGCAGGTTGGCGTGCGAGCACGTCTGAGTGCCTGCATTAAGTCTTGGACGTAAATTGCGCGACGTACGGTGTTTGTACTTACTATGGGCATCCAGGGAAGGGTGTCGCACATCACAGTCGGCATTTACAGTGCCCGTGCGCGGGTCGAGCCACTTCGCGGGTCGAGCCACTTCGCGGGTCGAGCCACTTCGCGGGTCGAGCCACTTCGCGGGTCGAGCCACCCCACCAATGTTGCATCCCAACTTCAACACGACGTAACTCCACCAATATGGATCCAATTCAAGAAGCGGTTGAATATTCAAATTCGCGTGAACCTGGAGATAATTTCTCGTACCGCAAAGTTGCTAAAAAGTTTAGATTCAATCGAACAACGCTATCACGAAGACACAGAGGTGCACAGCGATCGCGACGCGACCAGGCGCGCCATCAGCTCTCCCTCAACCCACAACAAGATGATAAACTATTAGGATATATAGAAAGATGCACAAGGGACGGCTTACCACCTACACGAAGCGTTTTAAAAAATTTCAGCAGCGCGGTTGCGCAGCAAGAGGTCTCCAATAGCTAGGTTGACTGGTTTCGACATCGCCATCCCGACAAGCTCACCACCAAATAGGACACTAGTATTAATTGTAAGCGTCACCTAGCTAACAGCAAGCATAAATACGAGTTGTACTTTAAATTACTACACTCTAAGATGTAAGAACACGGTATTAACGCGCGCAATACGTACAATATAGATAAGAAAGGCTTCTTCATCAGCATGGTAAACTCACTAAAAGGATCTTCTCTAAGGCAGTTTGGGAGGCAAAAGAGCGCACAGCGGCGCTAAGAGATAGTAATAGGGAATAAGTAACGCTGCTGGCTTGCGTATGTGCTTCTAGCGATGCATTGCCGCCCGCTCTTATCTACTAGGGCACCTCTGAGGTTTATTATTATTATTATTATTTTGATTTAACGTCCTTTCTCAGCCCTAGGGCTATATAGGACGTGTAGACCAGAGGTCTACAAGTATCTACGTGTTTCTATCAATTTGATGTAGGTGGGGGAGGGGGTTATCTAAATGAAGGTGAGGCTCGTAGCCTAGTGTATCGGATGGTAGTAGGGGGTCTTGCGGGTGGTAGGTGGGGTAAGGTAGGTGTAGGGCAGGTACTAGTGCTAGTGGCGCCCTAGTTGTTGGTGTCTCCTTTGTACCAGGCTTGTGTCCCAGCTTTTGTCTCTTCAATAAACCTAATAGTCGCCTGTATGCCTATACTAGTTTCTAGTAAGAAGGCTAGTGATAGTGGGTCCTTGCTCGTTTCTTGCATCTTCTTTCTAGCTTCTTTGTATAGCGTACAGCTAAGTAGGATATGTGTAGTGTCTTGGGTAGCTCTATAGTTGCATGGGCATACTTTAGAGTCTACTTTCTCTTGATTAAATAGGAAGCTTCTAAGATAGCAGTGCCCTAGCTTAAGTTGATAGAAGGCGCTAGACACTTCTCTACTAGTAGAGGGAATAGCTATTTGCTTTCTAATCTTCCACTTATACTTTGCAGCGTACGTATTAGAGTTACGCTTAATAGCCTTCTTTTTATATTGTTCAAGTAATGTAAGCCATTCTCTTTGGCCTAGCTGTTTTACTCGTGTGCCTATTACAGCTAGGCTTGTTCTAGTAGAGCTAGGATCTAGCTTTGTTGCCTCCTTAGCTAGTGTATCTGCTCTCTCGTTCCCAATAATATCTTGGTGGCCTGGTACCCAGTATATTGTAGGTGATAGCCTAATTTCTCGTAGTTTCTCTGCTGCTTTTATACATCTAATCTGCCACTCTTGTCCAGGGTTGTCAGAAGCAGTTTTTAGCCTAAGTATAGCAGCTTGGTTGTCTGCGTACACTCTAACTTCTAGACAGTCGTCTACTAGGTCAATAGCTTTCTCTAAGCCTAGTGTGATCCCTTCTAGCTCTCCATTATAGACTAGCTGGTTATAGCCTATATTAACTTTTTGTTGGGCTATACGGGTGGCTCCTTTGTAGAATGCGACTCCTACTCCTATACCTTTGCCTTCTGTTGTAGATGAGGCGTCTGAGTATATAGATAGTAGATGTTTGTCTTCTAGTTGCTCTTTGTGGTCTTTTGCTTCTAATTCTTTTGGTTTTTTTGATATATGCGTCTTATAGGGCATTTCTGAGCTCCATGGCATAGAGGCGTAGTGCTGGATCTTCTCACTATCTATAGATAGAGTTGTTGAGATAGATTTAGTAATACGCTCTAGCTGTTTCCCTTGGTTGCCTCTAGACCTCTGAGGTTTAATTAAGCTGGGTTGACGATCTTTTGGCTGAATAACACTAGATTTTTGTCTCCCACTCAACGACGGGATAGTCAAATTATAATTTAGGACTTGCCTGGCTTTAACAGGTGTTCGAGCGTTATATAGCAGCTAAAGCTCGCTGGCAATAGCGTCTTCTGCTTCTTAACAGCCACGGCAGCCACCTCACGCCCGAGTTTTTGGAGTATTGTGAAGCTAAACGAATCATAGTTATGGTGTATCCTCCACATTTAACCTACAGCTTGCAGCCGTTAGATGTTATGCTCTTCTCGCCGCTTTTGAAGCACTACACTAAGCAGCTTACTTAGCACCTCTAGCGAACCCAAGGCCTCTTAAGAATCACCAAACGCAACTTTTTTGGCAATTTTTGGCTGGCGTGGAGCTCTACAATGACTTACGATCTTATTTTAAAGAGTTTTTAAGCTATAGGCGTGTGGCTAATAGAGGCGGACTAGGTACTTCAACGCTTTAATAACGACCTACAACAACAAGATGACGACTTAGGAATTAGAAAGCAAGGCGACGGGGATACCTAGCCTTAGCTGCGCAAAATTTTTGACGCCGCGGTGGCGGACAAGGCTAAAGTTAAAGCTAAACGGCTGTCGCAAGGCCTGCACTTGCTGCAGGTTAACAACAAGCTTCTACGACTTTAAAACGCGGAGCTTCGCGCCGAGATTAACCTCCTCACAAAGCAGCCGACTAAGTCTACAACATTGACTACACAAGAGGGCGACAATTAGCACGGCGGCGCTGTATTCTATAGTCCGCGGAAGCTTACTAGCGAGCGCGCGCGCAAAGCCGCCAAATTAGACGAAGCTGCGCAACTACAACTCTAAAAAACTTGCGATAGAGAGGCAAGAGCGGCAGCAACAGCTTACAAAAAGCAGGTTTAAGAAGCTGCAAAGGTGGCTTAACAACAGGCTAAAATTGAGCGTGATCGCAAGCGTTAACAGCGCGCTAAGGAACTAGCTACGCAACGGGCGCTTAATAAGCAATAACAACAAGCTGCAACCGCTTAAAAAAGTCACAATACAGTAAACAAGCGTAAGCGAAAAGCTTCACACAAAGCAGCAAAAAATCTAGCAAAGCGTCGTCGTGTTACTGCTGCATCACGTCAGGTTGACGCTGGTCCGCCAGCGGCGTCTCTCCTACCTAAATTTGGCCTACGCAACCGCTAAATTAAGACGCTAGCGAGATGCAAGTAGTGCAAAGGCTTTAGAAGCTTTAATATATCAATACCTTAAACAATCTCACGATAATAGCTATTTGGTGTGGCTGTACAACCTCATATTTGCAATCGTCCGATATTGGTGGGGTGGCTCGACCCGCGAAGTGGCTCGACCCGCGCACGGGCACTGTACCGTCCTGTCGTCCGTGCGCGTCGCATGCACTTCCAGTCCTAAGATGGGCTGTTCCGCGTTTCCTGAGCGTCACCAATCTGGAGTGCATCACTGATTATTCTTCTTGACCCGCCTGAGGCATATTATAGACATGCTGTTAGGCCGCATGCAGCTCCATCCCACAATCGCATTACTCCTTGTGGCTCTGGGAAGAGATTACCCTCAAGCACCAATGTTTGCACTTCTGTGAGCGACATTTAATTGCAACTTGCGATAATATCACAGCGCAAGAAGCTCCGAATGTGGCCAATGCACGCGGAGTATGCTACAAGCTGCTTTATTCCTAAACAAGCAACTATGGCCCGGCTTGGCGACAGAATTCTCCGTGTGGCCTGTTGAATGTTTGAGGTTGATTGGTTGAAGAGCTACTCACGTCAAATGAGCATCACTTCTTATAGGATCAATCCCGAAGACAAGAGCCGCAATAGTGCCGCTTAAATCCTTTAAGTAATTCGGCTAATTCTCTAGTTTCGACTACTGTATACAACTAGCATGATGCTTGAGTTGGAGTCTGAATCGTGCTGAAACAAATCTAGCATTAGAGCTAGTTATTTGTGTTGCGACCAAAAAGTTAGAAGCATAACTAAAGTCGAGGAAAGCCCTGCGGGCTGTGCTTTAGTACTATCATTATCTTAGAGATTATACTACCTTTCCTACTCTATCTTAAACTCTCTCTTTCCATAGGAGCTAACAACTATAGAATCCTGTTTTAAATTCAAATGAATACTACTAAATAGAACACAAGTATATTGATATAGTATTTGATAGTGAAAACTGATTCTCTTATTACTGTTTACGAATCTTCTGTACTGAATTGTATATTGATAGATTTTAAAACCTTTTCTGCCAGTTTTGAATTCTAATAACATATTACAGTATCATGTTTTTAGATTAAGTAATAAAGTCTAAGTGTGTATATAGCTTATTTCCATTAGTTATAGTGTATTCATCGTTTAAATTTAAAGTAAAAACTAGAGTGTTAGGAAACATTAGAATGCTAGACCACTAAAACAGATAGGCTAGTCAGAATCACAGCTAAAGCTGCAACACCGTCCAGCAGTGTTACAAGCTTGGGGGATGTTTGCATTGTGTGGTTTCATGTTTGAGGGAGGTACTAATTTGCTTCTAGAATGGGACAAGTAGGGGACAAGCACATTAGACGTGCGCCTCCGTGTATAGATTATCGCAAACCTCTATATGACTTAGGATCGAAGCGATAGAGACTGCAACAAGCGTCCTAATATCAGTGCCTCTTACTAAACAGAACGCCTTTCCCTCGCTCTCGTCTAGCAAGACCATCAAAGACGTGATATTGAACCGCTATTCGCTCTTTCGCGAAGCCACTGAAAAGATACAGCTACGACCTAATCGACAAAGATATGACTGCGAAGGTTTCGAAGCGTATATTCCTAACATTTTCGCTGTGTCCGATGTATGTACATGAGCTACCTCGTTATCTGATATTAGGGCAAATTAAATTCAAGGCAGATTAAGCACTGAGTTTGCAGGTATTGAAAAGAGCTTCTATGACTGATAGTAGTGGCTGCACAGTGCGCCCATCGGTTATGAACATGTCTACCCAAGTCTCAGCCTGAGATAAACATAGCTGTTGTGAACCAGCTAATTGAATTCGGTGATGACAACCTGTCGATTACTGGTATACTGCGGGAGCTTATGCACTTCCGTTGCCGTAGCTCTGTGTGTTAGTGTCTGGTTGGTGAGATTTTGCGATGCGAATCGCAAGGAACATAACCACTGGGGCGGATGTGACCAGTGTGATTCGAAGACCGATTACTGCAAGGCTATCGCACTAGATATCGATAGAAAGGCTAAGGCTTACTCAGGAGAACAGGTGATGGAAAAAGGCATGCGGTTATGGGTCCGACAAGCCATGCAGGATGCAAAAGCCGTTGGAGAGAACATCCAGAGGGCAACCACAACGAGATGTGTGTAGTGGCTGTGCTCAATCTTGGTGGTCTGATACTTAGCGGGGTACTTACGTGAGCGCAATCCGGCACTAGTTCAACACATAGTATATGGCAGTCTCATCAGCTTAGAGCACACGCCTTTCTGCCTGCATGATTAGATGCTAGGCTCTGCTTAACAGATTCTTTTCCTTTAACCTGGCGGGGTAATCTTCCCTTTCGTTACCTAGTGCTTCTGCAATGACAATATTCATTGCATGAATACCGGCGGCCCCGTCAATGACAGAATCTTGTAATGCCGACATTGTCTCATTAAGGGTCAAACCAGGTTCCGATTGATATCCACATGGTTAGTGAACTGTTCAGCGGACCACCACCTCTGCAAACAACCATTGCCGTTCAAACTTCCTCTGGGAGTCATAGGTGTCCGCAGCCGCGATGCTCTGGTTCTTTTGGAGACATACGGCCCGGGTGGGGACTGATACGCAATGAGCTACTGCTGAAAAAAACGAACCACCAACATGGCGTTCTCCTGCACTAGTAGCAAAAAGAGAAGAGATTAACCAGGTCCCAAATCCAATATCGATGACCACAAGTTCCAAATACCGTACTTTGTCATGCGGAGAGCCCTTGAAGATTTTGTAAGTATTAGTCGACTATGAGGCAATACCTATTTGTGGGAAGATCCGCTTTGCATGGTTCAGGCTGATTGTGAGGAGTACAAGGGAGATCCACTCAAGATGGCAGACAAATATAGTAATACCAAACTCGTGCTCAGCGGACAATACGAATAGCTCTGAGAAAGGGTCTTTGGAAACAACATCGGAGACGTCGCAGCTTCAGGAGGATTGATGGTCGAGACACGTAGCAAAAGCGCAGACAGAGTCTCTGCAACCACTTCAGGAAGGCGCCATATGTCACTCGTCATTATCCTTAGATGAGCTCCTGAACACGCTCGCTTGTTGGCTGTCAGACGTAATCTCCGCTAACCAGTTCTTTCACTTTACATCTCCGGAGATGGTCTAGCAATGCAGCAACGTCTAAAACTATGCAAGTGGCATCACATCACATCTTTTACGAAGCATCAAATTGGCAAACAGCCAGAAGAATGGTACGTAGACACGGAAAATCTCACTCTCTGCCGTAGCGCGGAGCTTTTTCCGGATATAAAGCGAGGTTCGTTGATGCGAAAATAGGTACCTTGCTAGCATGTAGAGGAGAGATCTAGAAAAGTCGCTATTGTTGAGTATAGAAGCCCGTTAGCAAAGGTATCCGGGGATACAGTGGAGGAGACTGGAGACTGGAGGCGCTGAGAGCTCCGTCTTGAAGCTGGGCGGCTATCGAGGGATCTAATTAGATTCAGCCACTTATTACTAATATGCGGTCTGGTACGTTGGTAGAAGAGGCAAATGGCAGGCATCTGCGCAGAGATGACCTATTCGGTAGAGTACATATCAAGTTTGAAGACAGCGATAACTCTATGTTTGTCACTAAGCATCCGTGTTTCCCGCGCAAGATGGAATCTGGTCATGTCGTGATTAGTGCATAGGTTCGCGTACAAATATTTTAGACCGACCACAATCGAGATTCAAATCCGTACGTCTGAGATATGGCTCTTGCGTTTGTGAAATTATGAGCATTTTTAGTGTTTGGAACGAAAAATACGATTAATGACTTATTGATAGGCCATTGTGGTCACACACCAACTTTTAAGCAGAAATCTTTCATCAAAACTCGTCAATTTTCTATCAGATATAGGGGTAACACGTCGCGAGAAACCGATTTACGCCACTCTAAATGTGTGCAGCCCTCTCGTTGAGGTGCTAGAGGGGGTATTGTCGGCATTCTTGCGACGTGTT